CCCCAGTCTCAATAGGAGCCCAAAAGTGTGTTGGCGTCCAGACTGAATGCCGAGGTGCAGGGGCCGAGCCAATCTGGCTGCTGAGATTGCACGGTGACTGCCTGACACCGCCGACAACAGAGAGAGCGCAAAATACCACACATATGTCACCGCACATGCATCACAACAAAATCAAACCAGCGCACTACTGTTGGTTAATGGTGTGTGTGTGTGGGGAGGAGTGGAGCTGAAAACAAATGAGTCCATTGTGTCTTGACACATGCACGCACACTTGCACCCACAGAGCAGCCAAACACAGGATTGAGTTACTGTTGAGGCATTCCAGCTCCCCACCCATTCCCCAGCCTCTCTCTGTGGTACGAGTCTGACAAAGGTTGGGAATCACACTCAGGGCTCAACAGGGACAAACTTCCCAAATTCCTTTTAATGGTCACACTGACATCCTGGCACCTGTTCCACACCCACCAACTCCATCACTCTAAATCTAAAGCTCACTGGGAATTCTCCTCCATGAACACACCCAGTGCACGTGTGCAGTCATTCTCATTCCTGAGCGGGTTTGGACACAGTTGTGTGCTTGCAAAAAGGCTGAGGGAGTTACGGTGAAAATGCAAGTCCAAGTAAAGTCATTCCTTCACTGTGAATACAACCATCTGTCCAACTCTTCTCCAAGGGGTGCGGCTGTAGTTTTGTCACATTTCAAACAAAAACAGATGAAGCACGATGCAATGACTATGTTACATGTAAGAAACTGCACATTTTCAGTCCCTAAAGTCAAAGTCTGGCTAACATTTACATTTAGATTAAATCAGGATCAGCATTACACAAAACCATTAGCCTGAGCGAAAGTCTGAGCTTTTCAGACCAACCCTAAGGGTCGAGCACCATTATCCACGGATTTCTCTTTCAAACCACTTCACACTTTGTGCGAAAAATACACTTCTGAATCTATTTCCCCTGCTTGGAGTGGATGAAAACGGTGCACTAAAATGAACTACGGGTCTGTGACATGTGATGGGTCTGGGCAATCTACCATGTTACTTAGAGATAATTGGAGCTGAGCACAGATTGACTCTTAGTAGGCACATAGCACGTGTCTGAGCCTTGAGCGCCCTAAATCTGTCATTCACAATGGTCATAATGCTTTAAAAAACATCATGTATTGTACGTCATGTATTATTCATATTATTCCAGCTCACAACCACCCTTGATGCAATGCTCCCTTGAGGGGAATTGGACAAGACTGATTTTGTCTCTAAACAGGCATGATTTTGCCTCAAGTGCCACTTATGAGGAATTACCAGCTCACCAAGTGAATGGAAGAATATGGGAAGTAAAAACAGAGCGGAGTGATTATGAGCATGCAGACAGAAAGGCTGAATGAAACAATGCCTATGTGCAGCTACCTCAATAGTCCTTGAAGCGCTTTTCAAAATTAGACTGTTCATCCAAACACCCACTCAGCATTGCATTCCTCTCAATCAAATCTGCACAATAACCGCCGCAAACTAATGAGCGAGACGGTAACAGATGCAAATCTAATAACCAGACGTTACTAATTTCACCACGGCTGCCTCCTTTCCCGTAGAAGTACATCTATCTGCTCATTACAACCAGCATGGGCAGAGGCCATGTGGCATGTCACTGCTGATCTATGTTGTCAAAATGTACTAATTAGTGCTAAGGGATTGCATGGTCTGGTCTGCCTCATGTATTTTGATATGATTAGGGACAGACAAAGGTCAGAGTACACGCTTCATTCATCTGCAACAAGTTGTTTTTATGCTGTATTTGGACATAATGAGACTTCAAATCTCTATATCAAAATTTTGTGTCTATAATGCTTTGTCAAGATGCTGCTACAGATTCTTGAGCTAAGCAGTCTGGTGTTAGCAGATTATCAGGGGACTTCCCAGTGGGCACGATGGTGCTAACAATACCAAGAAAGGGATTTCACCAACATATTTTGTACATTGAATGCTTAAATTAACACCTATTAAAGTGGACATGACATTAAAATAGATAATGATGGTTAAGACCTACGGTATCCATGGGTTAGATTTCTAACGTCACCTCAACCCACCTGGAAACAATTCAAACCGTTGTAACCTTTACAAAAATATCAACTCCAAATAGGGCTAGGTATATGAAAAATGTCAATGTCTATTGCTGATACATAACCATACCAATAAAAATATAATTAAGCATCTGAGTTATGTTTACATTCAGTGTTTCTTACCACTCGGAGTGTGTGTATCACTGAGATGCAATGAATGCCTTTCCTTCCCCAAAAAACATTTTAAAGAATGTTGCATTGTACATTATATGTTTACCAGCATCTATCTGATCAAAATAAGGAAGGGTGTGAGTCTGAGCAAGCATTTGGTACTTCACAGTTTTTGATATTCGTTGCTATGGACACCATTTGGTCAATACCAAAAGAAATTTTGAGGTTTAATACCAAGTCTAAATATCAAAATGCTGTTCTTAATAAAGTTGCTGCAATAGCAAAGTTCAGCAGGCATTGCTTGGGAACTTTTTCTTTATTGGTAAACTGGCATCAACTCATACCTCAGGAGCCGCGCTGTTCACATGACAGGCGAAAATGTAATTACTTGGAGCCTATATCTGATGTGAGTAATCTATATGCTTACTCCAGTGGCTTATTGAACACACCAGGGATCTAATCATATTCCATTGCTTCTTTGACCTGGCCGATCCATAAAGACGGACCGTCAATAGCTGCCCATATGCAGGCCATGCGAGCAGAGAGTGTTCTCATGGAGTCAAGGCTCCTGTTGGGAGATAATTAGATGCCTGTTGAGTCCCCACTGTGTCACCCCCTCTTCTCTCCTATATTCCATAAAATCCCATGTTCCTCTCTCTCTCTCTCTCTCTCTCTCTCTCTCTCTCTGTCTTTCACTCCAGCGACAGAGCAGCCGGCTGTGACAGAGAGTGCTTCCACATGTGAAACTTGTCAGCCAGATCACGCTCATCATCCCAGTGTCAGCTGCAAAAGCTGCCGAGTAGCCAAAGGACATCCAAAGTCCTGTCAGGTACCCAGGCCATCACAGCGTTCTGTCCCTTTTCTAATCGAGCTCCAGCCGGGCTGGGAAGCTGTTGGTGTTTATGTAAGGTGGGGGGATTTTGTGTGAGAGCGTTAACTTTGGGAATTTCCCCACTTAGCAGGAACATTGGATGATGCATGAATAGACATTAACATGTACAAAAGGAAGAGTTTTGCTCCCTGCAGTTATTTTTTTTTTACTATTACTATTTATAATTTGTTTCCTCCTATTGTTATGTAATTCCCCTAAGAGACCTTCTCTAAACTGAGGCTTCAGTTCACTTCCGACGGATCATTCATACATCTATAAAACGCAGGGGAGGGGATTCAAGCTTATGCAGACACGGAAAAGTGATTGACCATTTAATACATTACATTTTTAGTATTGCTTGCTTCATGTGTGATTAACAATCACATAATAAACTGGAATACCACGAAGATGTTGTAGTGGATTCCTATTTTGACTGCTCCACCAAAAGGCAGAAGTGGAATTCTGTCATGTCTGTAGAGTAGAATAGCGTGTGATCTATGATTCCTCCGAACACACACACACACACACACACACACACACACTCACAGCCATAAAACTTGTGGTGGTGATAAAGCTGTCAGTGTGACCAGACTACCATATTTACTTCCCTGTCGACCTGCCCCAGACAGACCCTGGCCTCTCTCTCTCTCTCTCTCTCCAAACACACAAACTTACAATGACTGGCCTCACTCTTTGGGAACTTGCCTCTCTCAATCTCCCGTCAAACAAAGCGATGCCCTCATTAGCAGCACACCTGTTATTCTCTGCAGACTTGGCCTGAATTGGAGGGAGCATGTGCTGTAGTCCGTGCCTGTACCTGCAGTTAGACTTAAACTGGCGACTTCTGTCAGACCCCTACTTGGGTGACTATTGCCTGCACTCCCCGTATCGACTGTACTGTTATAGGGCAAGCTGTCATTTCAATTCAAAACCATTCTATCGCCAAGGGCTTTACAGGAAAGGCACAGACAAGCTCAACTGAATAGGTGAACCTAAGAGGAGGTTGGATAAAGAGCTGCGCGGGGTCCTGACCACTGGAGAACAAAGTCAAAGGGTGCTAATCAAAATAATTCAGTGATTATCTCCTGCAAGACTGGAGAGAATCAAAGAACTGATTTACAGCTTTTTGTCATTTCACAAAGGAAGCTCTCATTCATCTCAAGCACCACACGGAACAAAAGAAATGTTTGTTTTCCACCCCTCTGGGAAAACAGAAGCACACACGAAAGTGAAGGCGAGAGTGAGCAAACACACATTTCCCAGGATTGCATTCTGAGCAGGGGGAGGGGGTGATGAAGATGATGCAGCGCATGTGCTAAGAAACATGATGCCCCAATACAAGCCATGAGAGAAGAAGCAGCTTTAGTGGTAGTATCAGAAAATCCCAGGTAGAATTTTTCCCCACCTAACTGGTTTCTGACAGAGCCAGTCTTACTTTCATGCATCTTGCAGTAAGCAGCAAGAGACAGATAACAAATCCTTTTATTTTGTATTGTAAGCTGTGCAAGCTGCTACACCACCCTTGGGTGAAAAGGCTGCTTTACCACCTCTTTGGATGCTGAAGCGGAAGATTTATTATTATTTTTTCATTCCAAGGAAAATAAGAGTAAGATGTCAACAGTGCCACACCTGTTCAGTCTGCTCTACCACTCAGGGAAAATAACAAAAAAAATTAATTATGCAGAGACAGAATTGATAAAGAGAGCTAGTGAGTGTTAATGAAAATCAGCAGTGAGTTTACATAGAGGCTTTACTCCAACGTTTATACACGTTAATAATTACACAAAATGAGATAAGCTTTGCACCATGAAGCAGTTAACCAAATCCTGTCAACAACACCCTTACATGTGACATTTATCTGAGTTAACCGTGCCATCGATAATTACAATGTCATATACTCACACAGCTTAAATTCTCTCCTATAAATGTGACGGAGGCAGAAGACGCAGTGACACCTACTAAAAATGAGCTGGATCCCCTCACACGCCCTTTCGACAGACCTGGGCGCCGCTGACTCACGCCACAGACCCTCACTCACACCGCGATGCTTTTCATCGTAGTAAGAAGTGATGCAAGCGGCGCGATCTCCCACAAGGTAAGGAGTTATGATGTCATCACTTTTGTGTTGTGTGTAAAGTTCTAAGTGTGACGACACAGTGTTCTAAATGGAACCTATGCGTGGAAGATGATTATGAAGCATTCCAACACCTCTCACACTCACACGCGCACAGACACACGCACATGCACAGGCACGTACACAGCCTGTGGGCGTGAGCGCAATCTAAATATGCAAATATGGTAGTAGTGGGATAACCTTGCCTTTACATGCTACTTACCAGCACTACACTTGGATCCCCATCTTCGATCCGACTTATATCCGATGTCAAATCAATAAAACTGCAGCTCCAGATACTCCCAAAATTAATCAGCGTTTACAAAACAGCCTGTTCAACTGGCATCAGTAGGCGAAGTAGAGCCGGACTCTGGAGGACCAGCCCAATGATGTGAGTTAAGTGGAGAAAATGTCTATTGATAGTGGCTTGTTAAACGTCCTGGCTCTGGGCAGGTTCCCACCGGTGAACAGGCGGACAGCTGACGCCGTGATAAAACGGGTCCCTGAAGGAGTGGCGACCGTCCTGCCCTGCGCCACGGTGACACAGCGTACCGCACATCCACACGTCCTCGGCGCAAATGATTTGACAGCGGAGAGGAGAGGGAACTACTCACACGCCGATCAAGTAGGCAAAGTAATGCCAGTTCCGCTTTCGATTTTCAGAATAAGACACTCAATGACGAGGAGGGGTTTCAATTTCTTGTACGGTTGCTACAAACCCAGAGGGCCTGAATAACCCACTTGGCGGCCCTAGGGCAAAAATGAGCTTTGGGCACCTGTTGACACCACCACCAACATCTTTGTTTGTTTGCTTTGCACCTTCAAGTTAACAATTTCACCACGGTATATAGAGGAATATGCATCATGTTAGCACAGTGTAGACTTAAATGGTGATGGTGGCCCATTAAAGCTAGTTTTTGAAGAATGATTGCAGGGCCCTTTAAGTGAAGATGTGATTTTAACTCTAATTTTGTGGTGCATGTAGGCCTACCCAAATAGATTTGCAGTTAATCAAATGACCTTGCAAACCATGCACACAGGCTTTTAAAAATCGCTGTTTCTCATGCACACACATTTTCATCATCTTTGTAATTTCAGTCTGTGCTGAAATTGGTAATATGAGAATTATCAGTGTGATGTAGCACAGCTTGCTGCTTTTATTTTGAAGGGAAATTGATTTCCGGTAGCTTGTGGTTTCTCTGGTTTGATACTGATGTGGGCAAGCATATATCTCTCTCTCTCTCTCTCTCTCTCTCTCTCTCTCTCTCTGTCTCTCTCTCTCAACAACACACACACACACACACACACACACTCAAGCTTCAGTCTCAGATCTCTGATGCTTCAGGTGCTGTCTCTCATTTCACAGGACTATAGAGTGTATTCTATCCTCCTATGTCTGCGTACATCAATTGCCATTAAATGTATTGACAGTCAGGAAGGTTGTGAAAAATGCAGACAGTATGTTCACCAGTGGGCCTTTGAATCCAATCAAGGCCATGCTGATTTCAAAGCCAATATAAAAGGGAAAACAGGAATGTTTATTTATTATTCCAAATTGCTCTTTGTTTGGCTAATGAGTCATCCCATTATAGCCTACACAAGCGTCAGACCAGCGCGTTTATCCAATCTGCCCGGCGTGGGCAGATTACAAGAAACATTTTCATTTGTAATCCCCAGGCAAACCCTCTTCCACACTCGCTAGCCATGACCCCTGAATGAAAGGGCTATATCTGAATATGGAAATGAGAGTCTGGCATTCAGAGGCAGGCTGTAGTTCCATTAAAACCTTAGTTAATTATTAGCATTAACCTAATTTAAAAACAGCAATGAGGGAATGTCTAAAACCTTCCTACTGTGTGCAGATGAGAAGCTGGAATGATGGGTAAAGAGAGAGGGGTGTTACCCTGGCTGCTACTGTCATCATGTTTTTTGGAAGGGTGAGATGTAATTTATTGGAGGGGAGTAATTAATTTGAAAGGAAGTGTTGTAGAGAAAGAGCGGGAGAGAAATAATTAAGCAGATGAGATGCACGGACGTAAAGGTCCTTGTTGGGCCATGAGGGGCTGTGTGTGAGCTGCTGTGCCTGGAGCTTTAATGGCTGGCTCTCTGGATGAGGGAAAGAATGGGTCTGACATTGGAGCAGAGGATAGAGATAAAACTCACTCTCTCTCTCTCACACACACACAACACACACACACACACACACACACACACACACACACACACACGGGGGCGCTGAAGCTGTTACAGTGAGGGAAGAGAATTAACCAACATGTATGCATGCGATTTCACTGTTGTACTCACCAAACAAGCACACACTAACACTTGTTTTTGTAACTTCTAAGGAAACTCAGTTGACATTTGTTCCATGGAGAGTTACCTTAACCATAAAGAATAATTCTTGCCGTAACCATGATATTTCCATAACCTTAACCCTATTGTAGATTCCATGCACAGATTTTTTTGTGTGTGTTAAATTGCTGGAATTGGATTTAAAAGTTTATACTAGCATTGAATGTGATCCAACGTTTTACAGCATTGTCCAAAACTGATGTTCTTCTTCTTCTCTGGCAGTAGTGTTGCAAAAACTCCAACAGGTTGTAAACAATCCAATAGTGTGGCTAAATTATCCACTTTCTCTGGAGGTGAAACCAAAAGTGAGCACACCTGAAATGTTGATAATAATCTCTCACTTCGCAGGAACTACAGCAAGTACAACATTCAAAATACGGTAAAACTTTGATTATTATAGCCCTGGCTTTTTTTTGCTAAAATCACTGAATTGACCCTACCTATATTTGGGACAGGCGTCCATATGGGACAGGCCTTTAATTCCTCAAAACTGAAATAGGCTACTATGTCAAGGACCCATAAACTGAGACAAATTCGACCACGGACCCCCATCTGATAGGATTTTGGCATTTAGATGTTTTATTACAGAAAGTGTATATAATACATGACCAAAATAGTCTTACCTTCGGTCCATATCTTAGTTATGGATGGAATTATAGTGAAAACAAATGATTCCCCTTTTTGCTGGGGACCCTCTGGAACCCCTTCCAGGACCCCGGACCCCACTTTGAGAACCACTGATGTGGATACACAGGTCTTCTATAAGTGTATAATTCTTATTCATCTATAAGAATTAGACTTTTGGACTTTCCAATAAATGAACTGAACAATTGACTTGTGGAGAATCTAACCGATATCATATCATCATATCATAACGATATGTAGCATGTTCATATTGACAAATTGATCATATGTATAAACATTTATATTTGTATTAACAATCTAAGCAGCTTAGAAGCAGCAAAAGTGGGCAACCTGGCGCTGTTTAATAGGTTTTATACATCCAAAGATAGCTGGCTATTTGGGACTCGGCTATTAATTGAAGTTTTATGCCCCTAACTTCCAAATGTCTGACCCCAACACTTAACCTATCCTTAACAAAAAAACTTAAAATCTTAATGCTTAAGCTTGTGCAAGGACCAAGTGTTTTTCCCCAGATGGAAGGGTGTGTATGTGTGAACAGATGTGAATAACACAAGTACACACACAAACACAGTAATGACTCAGCCACATAGAAAACTATGTTTGAGCCGCTGAGGTTTCTTTATTTACGAGGATGTTTGTCTGTCTGTTTCAGACATTCACTCACTTACACTGCCTCTCTAGTCTTCACTAGTCTCTTAGGTTAGCTTGTCTTGTGTGTGTAGTCACTTGAACAGAAGCCTCAACTAATGATTACACAACAGAGCTTTCTGGTTGCTCCTGCACATGTGAGAAGGGCTCTAGAATTGCAGAGGAAGTAAGACACAGGCACATTCAAATGTTTCACATCGCCTCTGCTCCCCACTCTCCCCTCGCACATTATACACTGAAGGTGTTGCAAAACTATCAGTGACAGATGCTGATAGCCACCACAACCCCTCACCCTCCTCCCTCCAATTTTATTTTCAAAATAATATGCATGCAACACCAACATTGCGCCTTTACAAAAAGCTGTTGCTTGGTCCCGACATGAGGGAAAGATATCCCAGAAAAGTGATGTTGATGAACTTGACAGTTACAGATCATATCAAGCCCTAACAGGCAGAAAAAGTGGTGTGTTCACATATATAGTCTTCACAGAAACTACAGCAGTCCAACCGCATTAGCACAATGATAAAGCCATTTTAGAAATGTGGTGATACAAATTTCTTTCAGTTAGGCTTAGGCCAGATAAAGTAAAGCTGGCAGCAGTGAAGGTGCGCTTGCAGAAAAGGGAACTTTGCCGATTTTAAACCAGCTGTGTATCATTACAATACAGGTATTATATATGCAAATTAACAATGGTTAACCTCCCTCCATGTTAACTGCAGCGAGAGCTCCCCGATTGACATATATTTTGTATGGCTGCCTTCATGGACAGTAGGATCGCGAGACGATCCCTCTCCCCTCCAAAATCAGAACATCCAGTCCAAAATCAACTGGCTAGAACAACCACTGGCAGGGGGCAATGTTCCTGTAGAAATGGAAGTAAACAATTTTTATAGTTTAATGCTGGAATCAGACATTCAGGGCTATTTATACGAGCTAGAATACAATGCGCAGGAATTACGGCATATGGAGGAGGAGGAGGAGAGTTTGTGTCTTTCTACTGCATAGACAGCCCAGATTTATGAACATACTGTCTTCCAGGGGTGAAATATCCCTGTAAGTTGTTACATGTAGGTGTATCCTGGGTACTACAGACTGACCCAAAGCCTTAAAATCCTTCTCCAGAAAGTAAAGAGTTGTTATTTTCTCTTTTCTTTATTCTCTCTTTTTTCCTCTTCTGTGTCTCTGACTTCCAGTACCTCTTTAGTTTTTAGTCTGTTCGCCCTCTAACAGCTCTGTTTCCTTGGCTCTCCTGCAGGGCCCAACATGCCTTGCCAGGAGCATACTCATTATTCATGCCACTGAAAGTGTACCAAAACAACATGAACTTGCTTTTGCATCTGTTACAAATGTAAATCATTCCTAAATGGGGCTATAAATTCTACTAAACAAATTAAGTTTCCAGTCTAATGCTACAAACACACTTTGCTGTGTGTGTAGTTAGACCATGTTAATCCTGCTGTATGTAGAAAGAAATTGGCTGTAAGACTCAAGGAAGAGGGCCTATGATGTAACATGAGGATTTGCTGGTAGACTGTTCAGCAAAACTTCCCCTGTGCACAAC